CCCCAAAACCCCAAAACCCCAAAACCCCAAAATATGCCACAATGGGTATAAGATAGTTGTGCTTTCTTAGATAGGGTAAATTACTTTGAGTTCACACTTAATTCTAAACTATCATCTCTATTCTTTCTCTGTGTGATATCTTGATTCATCCGTTCATAGAAACTCGGTCCATTGTCGACCATATTCTGGTGAACAAGGAAAGCATGATGTTTCTTACAGAGAAACGAGTCATTCGACTGGTTCAGGAGTTTGTTTAAGAAAAATTTATATAATTTTAGACTGTCTCCTCCCAACAGGTTATCATTTGAGCTCTTTTCTGAACTATATGATTACACTAATAGCCTGCATCTAAGGTCTGCTTACTTGTTGATGCCTTGCTTCATTATACGCTTCATAATAGCCTCAAAGGTTTCTTTAGGCTTATCATCGTGTTTTTCTCCTTGCTTAATTTTGGATTTATGGTGACCATGCTTGAGCTTAATCTTGCTCAGAGAATTCATATTTTCAATAGATCTCTTAGAAGCAGTTTCTAACGCATTTGCTGAGATAGAAGGTTCTCTGAAGATGTTGATGAGTTTAGAGTTTATCTTATTTTATCATCTTCTTTGGTACTGCTCTTGCTCCTACAAAGGTTATCACCGTTTTGATACGATTGTTTGTTACGAGTTGTAAAAATCTTTGGAAATTATTGTGAATTCAACATTTTTTAAACCAAATTTGCAAAAGTAAAAGCTAAGGAATATTAAGAAGCTTTACAGTCTGGCCTGAATGGGTATGCAAGTTTTATTCTCAGGCCTTCAGAATGTGAAAATACTTACTCTTTGTACTTTGAGGGAGATGTAACATATTTCTCAAATTCTGGATAGACCTAGTCTCACTCATATTAAGCTTAATTTTATCAAAAGTTGATATATTTTGACCTGAATGATTCTCATTTACAGTTAAGAAATCGACCTTTTTATTCACTTTTGTTTCTTCACGGCTTGATTTCAGCTCTTTTTCGATAGTTATTGAGCAGTCTTTGAAATGTTTATTTCTGCCTGAGACTCTCGGTTGCAGTACTCATAATATTTCTTTGGCTCTTAAACAGTCTTATTTGAGGTTTCTTATCTGCAGAATGTGCATTTATGCTCCTTTTGAGCAGTATTTCCTTTACAGGATTCTTATATTTCCTCGATACGATAGGTTCATGGTCATCATATTCTTGAGAAGTCCTCTTACCTCTCAAAAAGAGCCTCTCTGAAAGATTAGTGTTCTTGACAACACCGCTTTGATGATCTGACTTCTTTGGAAGATGAATAGACTTCATCAACGAAGTATTATTCAATCTTTGAGGAAACTCAGTGCTCATATGATGTTTCTGGACAACCAGCCTCCGCTTCTTCTTGTCAGGCTCAGGAGTCGTAAACATTAAGCTATCTTTAGGTTTCTTTCCTTTCTTGTAATTATAGAGCATCAGTTCTAACTTAGTAGGGCGTTTGAATAGACCAAGCTTCTCTTGAATATACTGCCCATATTGGTTAATCCTTAGCTCTTGCATCACATCCTCAGTCTTTGTACCGTCTATAGAAGGAACTGGAGGCTTTTGGCAGAGCCTGATGTTTGCTTTTGAATGCTTAATTTTATTTCCGGGAATGCAACCAATTTCTTTGAAGAATGAAATTTTTAAATTCATCTTCTTCTTTGCTAGTTTTAGGCTGGATCTGGTCCTTATCAGGTGAGTTGAAGAGTCCAAGGTCTTTATTCCTACAATTTAGTAAACTCGAATTACTTTTTGTCAACTACGTTTTGAACAACTTCTATAGAGCTCACTCTAACTATTCGTTTTCTCTTTGGGCTCCTTGGGATTCGAGGACTTGAATGATAATCATGCCTAAATATTGATCAATTGTTATCAAGTTCGGAGAATTTATGAAGTAAATATGTGAGCAAGTATTACTGGTTCTCTCTAATACTTATGTATCCGTCTCTCCTATAAAATATTATATCTTCTCCAATATCATTCTGACTAAAATTCTCATATGTAAAATCTCCACAATTTTCTTCAAAATTCAGCTCAAACTCATCGCTTAAAAATCTATAATACCTTAAACGGCTTCTTTTCCGATTCTGTAAGTTCTCTGGTTCTTTCTCCATATTCAATAAATAAAATATAGCAAGGGGTTTTGGGGTTTTGGGGTTTTGGGGTTTTGGGG